TTGCTATATTAATGAACCTAAGAAATACGTGACTTTAAGTTGTTAAATATACAGGCACCAATATGCCATCCCATAATGCCAGAAAAATAGTCACCATATTTTTTATGGTGAATTTCTGCAGCTGCCATTTTACTTTACTGTAAATTTAACAGAATATTTTTTTAAATTATGCTTTGATATTAATTTTTTTAGTTGTTAATTCCATTCTAATACTTTTTAATATAACACTTTTCTCCAATTGTTTCTTTCTACAGTGTCTATAAAATCAATTGATTTTTTTTTTTTTTCACAATTCTGATTTTTTTTCCCTCTGGTCTGCTTCAGTAAATGTTATGCATATCCTACAAAATAAACAAAGACTTCTTTGTTTTGACCTTAAACTTTTCTAATTTCTTTTTGTAGATGTAGAAAGTGTACCATTCTTGGACTTTCAGTGCCAATTTCTACGCTGTCCAGCATTAGCTCACTTTTGAGTTTGAATTTACTCTGCTTACACAGTGAAATGAGGAGACTTAAGTATATCCACATGTCAGTTTCTTCCTTTAACTCTGCTCCTGAGTGAGTCTCTCGTTGCTAATGTACCCGATTCAGAGTGTCATTGAGTTGGCCGCCCCTGTCAGCCCTTCACACATATGCATACGGCTGGCAGATTGACTGATTCGGCTGTGCTCTTGGTCTCTGAGAGAGCAGCTGTCTTCACCTCATCTGTCAAGACAACCCCAAGTGGCAAGAAAAGTATGAGGGTGCCAAATGCACTCGGTTGGAGGATAATGGTTCCTTAAATACTGGATCACATTTTGCTTTCACTCTGCTGGCAGTGAGACATCGCCGGGTGTCCTGCTGATTCCACTGTAAAATGTGGTTGCAATTCCACATAAAAGCATTCGAATGTCCATAAATCATTTAAGCAAGGCTGCAATTATGTAGTTAGTTCTAAATGTGTGTCTCCGCAGTGAATCGCGAATGCTCGCTTTGAGATGCTCATCACCTTGACACTGAAGTAAAATGTTGGTTTTTCAGCATCATACTAACTTAGCATATTATCTTAAGTATTATTCAGTGATATGAAAGAATCTACAGCAACCAAACATTGTATGAAATGCAAAAAGATGAAAGCATCTGTATATTTCCATGCAAGATATACAGTCAAGAATAATTAATTCTAACTATTAGAATTAATAATTAATATTATTAATTCTAAAGTACTATAAAAACCACATTAAAAACATTACTGGCTGTTATTTTTATTTATATTAAATTAATTTTATTAATATTTATTTATATTTTATTAGTAATAGTACATTTATTTTTAATTGTAATAATAATTAAATAAAAAAGCCAATATGATATTTATAATCATTTTACTGAAGCTTATAAGTATTACTATTATTATTAATAATCTATATGCACACTTATTATTATTATTATTATTATTTTAAATATATAGCTGCAAAAAATGGCAGTGTATTATATGTAATATATATATATGTGACCCTGGACCACCAAACCAGTCGTAAGGGTAAATTTTTCGAAATTGCGATTTATACATCATCTGAAAGCTGAATAAATAAGCTTTCCATTGATGTATGGTTTGTTAGGATTTGGCAGAGATACAACTATTTGAAAATCGGGAATCTGAGGGTGGAAAAAAAATCTAAATATTGAGAAAATCGCCTTTAAAATTGTCCAAATGAAGTTCTTAGCAATACATATTACTAATTAAAAATTAAGTTTTAATATATTTACAGTAGAACATTTACAAAATATCTTCATGGAACATGATCTTTACTTAATATCCTAATGATTTTTGGCATAAAAGAAAAATCTATAATTTTGACCCATACAATGTATTTTTGGCTGTTGCTACAAATATACCCCAGCGATTTAAGACTGGTTTTGTGGTCCAGGCCAGGGTCACATATATGTGTACAATGTGGAATTTTACAGAATTTAATTTTATCATTTAAGACCCCAACAACGTCTGCACCTGTATTTGCATAATAATTAGCCATTCAAAATGTGATATGAACTTCAAACAGATTAATGCGCTAGATCACAATGTGTGACAGCTGCGTGATTCACTATAATTTAGATTTAGGACCTTCTCAGATTGCTTTGGTCATGTACTTAGCTTTAATGGATTGTTCTGATGATTTTCAGTAGGAAAGGTTACCAGAAAAGATTTCCTGGTTCACCGTACTCTTAAAGTAAAATATTACAAAATCAATAGATTTCTTGATATAACAAAAGAATGGCTTCATAAAATAACAGTGACAAGACCTTAATTTTATATTTGGCAGCCATCCACAAATCCGCCATTATTCAACAGCTATATACAGGTGCATCTCAATAAATTAGAATGTCGTGGAAAAGTTCTGTCATGGAAGAAGGATGCAAAACTGGTATATAAAGACTCCCACCCATGCCTGACGCATACATGTAACAATTTCAAGTGAAGAAAGAGAAAATCATCGATCTTGAACAACCAACATGTTTTATTCTTGTTATGATGGTTAAAGCGCTTGTGTGTCTGATTAATTGACCTGTTTTATTCTTCTAAGCTTCACTTAATTTGCTGTTGTAATGATTCCAGCATGTTTGTTTTCTTTTATGGAAAATTTTTGCAGCTTTTTTATTTCTGCTAAAGAAAAGTTCAGAACAGTGTCTTTCTGCTATTCTCAGAGTGAGAAATGTGCGAAGAGAGGATGGCTGTTCAAAACTGTTAAAGAAAGAAGAGACCCAGGAGCTTTGACACAAAATAAGTAAAAGCAACTTTAATTATACTATGGGAAGCCAGTGAGTGTGCTGCTTATGATAGTTACAGCTGGCTTCCTGCCTAAACCCGGACTCTCCACTAATGAAAGACAGCCTCTATCTCCGTCAGGCCTTTGTGAAGGTGCTTGATTAAACAACATGCAAGGCAGCAAAGCTCTGAGGGTGACTTCACATTTGGCTAACTAATTGCACACTCACTGACTGTTTAAGGTCTGGATCTGGAATTAACTGCGACAGAATTGAGTCATTCTGGTCATGAAGGCAGAACTTTTAGCCTGAATTCTGGGTGAAGTAATGCAGATTTATGTGGATTAATCAGCTTTTCTAAACACAATTGAAGTAAAAATAGGTCAGCGGATATTTAAGATGTTATTTATCCCCCCCCCCCAGGGTAAACAGAACAGAACCAACATAAATGTATTGCAGATATCGTTAAAATTCAATAATTTTATGTACACATTTTAGAATTAGTCTGATTCAAAGGATAATCAGAAGGCTGCATCCTGACTGACAGAGGGGGAGCTGGGGATGGAGGAAGGTAATTAGCTATTGAGCAATGTGAAAACTGCTGATAATACTGAGGGACCTTATATATGAATGCTTAGATAGGTGTCGTATTCCTATAGGTAGATGGGGATCAGCTGAGAATCAGGTCATTCGTACAAATTCATACGAATTGGGGAACTCGTAAAATAGATACGATTTAGCAAAAATTTGCCACCTCGTAAAATATGTACGAATTGAGATCGGGTTGGAATAGCCTACTCATTGTGCCCAGGAGGTCCACCTATAAAACACTGTCGCCTGAAACCTCACAAAACAACTCAGTTTTCTGTCTTCGCAATGAAAAATGAAGTGAACGCTCCCCAGTCGGCCACTACAGAGCACAGTAATCAGCACTTCAAACATTAAAGTCAGACCACCGTATGGAGCCTCCAATATTGACATGTTCAGCATGTTCCTGACATGAAATCCCCGGTTGTACAATAAAGTCCATATAATAGTGGTTTCCTTAGAGGGGAAGTGCAAGTTTTGTAATCCGCATCACTCCAATTTGGTGGCCTTGAGCTCCTTATCGCCAATCCCACATGGTCTGTCTGGTGACTGAAGTTCCCCACCACTCAATGGCCGACTGCATCAATTTCTTGCTCTGTGTGACACAAGAAGCTGCGTAGGGTCAACGTGAACCACAGAGCCGTGCAACTTGATTCCAACTACATGTCGCTTCAGGTTTTTTTGTCTGGTGATTACAGCTTCTGACACAGGACAGTAGAGAGTTTCATGAAATCACTCAAAACCACACTAGAAAAGATATGACACAAATCTGCTGTTTGACTGTTTCACTGAAGAAACTGTGGGGAAGACGCAACACTAACAATTATTATTATTGTAATAATAAGCAATTATTGGAAGTGTTTTTATGGTTGTAGATATTGAAGTACTTGCAAAAGAGTTTTATTTGTGCAAGGGGTATTTTTTTAGTTTTATATGGAAGCCTGTTTCTGCCACTGAATAAAAAATAAAAAAAGGTAACTGTGACTTTGCATCTCACAGTTCTGACTTTTTTCTCGCAATTGCGAGTTTACATCCCACAATTTTTCTCAGAATTGCATGATATAAGCTTGCTGTTGCGAGAAAAAGTCAGAATTGGGAGATGTAAACTCGCAATTATAAGAAAAATTTCAGAATTGCGAGATTTAAACTTGTAATTTTGAGAAAAAAAATAGAAATTGTGAGATATAACATCACAATTCTGAGAATAATTTGAAGTCGCAATTCTGAGAAATAAAGATATTGACTTTCAATTCTGACTTTTTCTCAGAATTGTGAGATATAAACTCGCACTTGTGAGTTTTAAAGTCAGAACTGTGTGATATAAACTTGCAATTGCAGGTTATAAAGAATTTCAAAAGAATTTTCGAAAGAATTTCGAGATATAAAAAACAGTTCAAAGAAAAAAGGTCAGAATTGCGAGATGTGAACTCGCAATTGCGAGAAAATTGTAAGAATTACGAGTTTATATCTAGCAATTCTGACTTTCGTGCAGTTGCAAGTTTATATCTCAGAATTCTGAGAAAAAAAGTCAGAAATGCCAGATATGAACTCGCGATTGCGATAAAAAAGTCGCTATTACCTGGTTTTATTTTTTATTCAGTGGCGTAAACGGGCTTCCATAGTTTTAAGTCGAAACAAGTCAAGTAACGTATTTCACATCTGTCTTGCAGGCATTTGCGGGTAACTCCAATACAGAGAGTGTGGTTCGGCATGACCTGCAAAACCCGACTGTGGCCCATTATTTGCGCATCATTCCTTTAGACTGGAGTGAAGAGGGACGGATCGGCCTGAGGTTCGAGATCTACGGGTGCCCGTATTGTAAGTTGACTCTGCTCTGTCACATTTCACATCAGTATCATCCAATAGAGTAAATATCAGCAAAGACGGCATCATATGGAAGTTATTTACATGATACTGAAGGCTGATGGTATTTTCATCCTAATAACTGTGCACTATTATTATTTATTTTTATTATGTAGCCTGATATTTATTATAGCTGTAACGTTTGCTAAGCTCAGTATAAAACTGACAGTTTTATCTAGTCCGAGTTTCTTTTCATGCTGAGGAAACTTGGTTCTAAGCTTTTTTGCATCACTAGAGTGATTAATATGCAGTGCAAGATGGCAATATGTATTCGGGAAGATCCCGGTACAATTAAGGGAAATTGGCTGACACAACTTTTTTTGAAAGTCAAGGTCGGCTATCCATCCCATACAAATCCAAGTTTTCATGATTTGCACAGATGTCTGCTAGTATGACACCCTGCTGCTTACTAAAACTGAGGAGAGAACTGATACTGTGCACTGTAAACAGAATATTTTTCAGTGTGATGTGTTGGGGTAAATATAAAGTTGAGACAAACAAAAATGTCTTGGTCTTCACAATATTTATATTTAATCTTTTACAGTTTTTCTCAGTTGATTTGACACTTTCCCCCAATCCAATGTACTTGTTCTCAAAACATTTAACACAGCCATCCAAACACAAAATTATCTTAATCAAACAGTTCAACTTTACTGCAAAATGAAGCACTGCAATTATTTAAATATTAACATCAAATCTATAGGTGTGTTCTCTATTGATTATAAAATGCATTCAGCTGTAGATACACAAATGTGCTAATGAAAATACATGTTTATTGTAATTCTTCAACAGGTAGTTTTGTTTTATATATATTGTGTATATCTAAACTAAATAAAAATTGTTCCCCTTCAGGAACTCGAGCTGCGTCGAGATTCGCTTTGGGAACGCCCTTGCGTGACCGCGTTCTGAAGCACGTGTCAAATCAGTCCAATGGAGCAGCGAGACGTCACGAGCGGGGTGACGTAAGCACCAGAAAGCATAAAAGCGCATCCGGCAGAGCGCAAACCAGCTTCTGCTCTTCAGTAGCGCTCTGTGTATGTGTCTGTCTATTTACTGTTGTCTGTCCGCACAAGCACTCATATATATAAAACAATGAAAAAGTCTGTGGCGAGCGAACGGCAGTACAAACGCTGTGTTCCTCCCTGCCCACGATCGTTATTTTGTCAAAGAGGACCTCGACTAAGCGGTCCTGACGCCAACACCGTCAGGCCCCTGAGGGCAGCCCTACCTGGGGAGGAAAGGATAACACCTTAGTATACGGTGCCCGATCCTCCTCAGTGCCCTCACGGAGAGTCACCGATAACCCTGCCACCCTCGGTGCTTCAGGGCTCAGTGAGCTCCGACGAGCAAAATTCCCAGCTGCCGCCCGGCAACGGTACGGCACAGGAGAGCTCGCCCCCTCAAGTGAGGGTGCTACAGCAGTCAGGTCGGTCGTTCCCTACCGGTCATCCGCGTCAGGGCACTGAACTGGCTCCTCTAATAACACCAGAGGCCAGCCTCGAGAGGCTGGTTCCCATAGTAGATTTTTTGGCAGCGTGGAATTAAAAATTTGTTTGTGCCACCTTTAGCAGCAAGAACTGCAAACAAACTTTTCTGATAACTACAGATCAGTCTTTTACAGCACAGTGGTGGATATATATATACTGTATATGTGTGTGTTTGCTGTATACATGAATTATCCTGAATTATTGATCTTGCCTTTCATTTACATCTGGAAGAGAATTTCGTTGCATTTTATCTACACTACATATTTGCTGCGCTTGCATCATAGGAGAAAAAATGTAAGAAGTTTGAATCCATCACAAACAATAACAGGCCAACCCCCCCCCCCAGCTTCTCACCGGAGAGGCCATGATTTTTACATGGTCCATTAGGGTTAATCTGCACCTTCTACCTCTCCTTCCACCCTGTTGTCCACTTCCTCTCTGTCCATGTCTTCTTACAGTTTCTGCTTTTGCTCTTTCCACTACACCAATGCCCTCTTCTCTAATCATCTCTTCTCCCTTTCCTTCTCCTCTCCTCTTTTTTCACATCTTCCTCTCTGCTCATCTCTTTCTACCTGTTACACGTTTCATCTTCTCTCTCATTACACGTAGGAGAAAAAATGTAAGAAGGTTGAATCCATGCTTGAAAAGCCCCTGTCTCAACATCTGCACAGGCCTCTTCCTTTGTGGCTGGTGGTGTTGTTCCGGACCACCATGTCAACAATGCTCCTGTTCCATTCAAAATAATCTTGATTGTCCACCTGAATGATCTCAAACTTAAATTCTGAAAAATGTTTGGACATTTACAGTAAGTAACAGAATTTGTCCCAGGAGGACTAAGAATCTGTACTAACAACAATCACAGTCCCCCCCCCCATAAATATATTTTTATTGCATATTTGTTCTTGCTCTTTGTATACTTTCCCTTTTATTATTACTCTAAAGCAATTGTGATAAATGTGTAAATGATTAGGAAAACTGCATTTCTTGTGTTTGGATATTTACAGTAAATAACAGAAGTTGTCCCAAAAATCTGTACTATCAACAATCATAGTACAACACTTTATAAGTGTTTTGACATAGTAAGTTGTATTAACTATTGTGAAAGCATTTGAGAGTTTTGTGCACATTGTTTTGAGAAAATTATTTGCATGATTTGTGCAAAAAATAGTAGACAAAAAAATAGCTATTTCTTAAATTATTATAATTATATTAATATTATATTGTTATAATTTTATAGATATGGTAATGTAAATTTAATGTAATGTTTAGAATTTATTATAATTTGTTTAATAACTTAATTTATAATATATTTATTTCCCTTTGGCAATAGAATTTTTTGACAACTGAATACAAGTTTTTTCACTTGGCAAGTGTTATTCAAATTGAATTAAATTGAATTGAAAATGTTAATTTTGGACACTGGTTACATTTGCGTGGTATTGTAGAGTTGCAACTTCACATAACTAACAAGGTACATGGAAAAACAAACAACGTACTTACTGAACACCAAATTTACATATACGAGATAATCTTTCTTAGCAATGATGTTGTGGTTAAAGGATAAGCTATTTTATTTAATCATTTTACAGAGACAGCTTTGCTGGATTTTAATTTGTTTGAAAGGTATGTCATTGCAAATCATGGATTTAAACAGAAATGCTTTCCAGATGAGTGGATGTATTTTGGAGCAGCTGTCTCCAGTGAGGTCAAAAAATCCTGAAATCTGAATGTGGCTCACAGAGTGAGCGCCACCTGTAGGTCATGTCTGTAAATCAATTGCATTGTTATTATTCCACTTGCTTCTGTTCATTGGTATTCTTTTTTCATTTTTAGTTCAATCTAGCCTTTTACATCTATGAACCACCAACATGGTTCATGTTGGTTGTCATGGTTGCCAGATTGATCTTGATAACAAATTTCAATTAACACCCCATAAATTGGTTTGAGAAGAATTACATTTCTCTCATTGCAGTGATGTAATCATCTGTCATTTAACCCCATACCAGAAGAACCATCTTTGCTAATGTTTGTTTTTTTTTTACCATGATTCTCAAACTTCTTACTTCTTTTCATTTGTTAATTTATTGATTGAGGAAAAATAAAATCCTTGAGATGGAAAAAACTGCAGCATGGAAGACATTTTTTCTGAAATAATTATATTATATATATAATGATATATAGTGTAAATAAATCTGACACCTGGCTCTTCTGAATGTTTGTGTTTATGACAAGTATGAATGAAGCCTGGTAGCTTTAGATACGTATCATTCCTCAAGCTGTTTTCCTACTCGTGAGGAGCAGAGGGGGAGTTGGCTGCACTGATTTTCCTGTCAGAAAGTGTTTCATCCACATTTGCTCCTTGCTGGTGAAACCACTCATATTCCTTCATCATCTCGTGCAGGTGATCACAGATGCTGCCATCTCCAAACGCTTTTTAATGAGGGCATAGTGTGAAATAAATAAAAAACATATTCTCACCCTGCTGGAAAATCCAAATTAAATTGGTTAGTTGTGTTTTGGAACACGGCAGCTTGCCGTTTCCTGTACTAAACCGATCATTAGCTGGACCAAGCTAACCTGCTGGACCTGCAACAAGGGCTATCTAGAAACTTTTGAAATCTCTTGTTAAGGAATTCATGTTTTGGTCAGGTGGACATGAATAATTGTGTTAATTTTTATTGTGTTATTATTTAATATTCAGTATTGAAATACTAAGACTTCTACTACTAATGATAATAATTGTCATTCTAAATTAACGTTAAATTGATAAACACCAGTTGGTGACCAGCTTGAACCTGCTAATCACTACTGTAGCTTACACCAGCTACCGACCAGCATGCACTAGCTAATGAGCAGGTTGAACCAGCTGACAACCATCAACCATAATAAGCCTGAACTATTTTAAACCAGTTTGCACTTGGTCATAACAAGCCCGAACCATTTTAAACTAGTCTACACTAGGTAATGACCAGTTTGCACCATCTAATGACCATCTGAAACCATCTTACAAAAAGATGATGACCAGTTTAATCCAACTGATGACCATCTTAAACCAGCCAATAACCATACTAAAGCAAATAATAACTATCTTACACCAGCTAATGACTATTTTAAACCTGATAATGACCAGCTTAAACAAGCTAATGATCCTCCTAAACCAACTAATGACCTTAATGATCTTAAACGAGTTAATGGCCATCTTAAACCAGTTTAATCCAACTAATGACTGTCTTAAACCAGCTAATGACCACCTTAAACCATCTTACACCAGCTAATGACCATCTGATGACCATCTTAAACCAGCTTACACTAGATAATAACCATCTTAAACTAGTTTAATCCAATTAATGACAAGCTTAAACCAACCAATGACTGTCTTAAACCATCTTACACTAGGTAATGACCAGCTTGAACCAAGTATGACAATCTTAAACCAGCTAATGACCAGCCAGAAGCAGTTAATATCCAGTTTCCATGTTCCTAGACAGAATTTTCGAACAGAAATATATTAATAAGTACAAAAACACTTTTTGGGGACCTTTTCCGCCACTCAGTTTCTCTTCATACATGGAAATGCACTGAGTGTTGAGTGAAAATAAATAAGATGTGCAGTAAAGGAATAGAGATAGCCCTTCTCAGGAAGCATAGAGGGAAAGAATGGGAGTTAGATAAGCAAGACCTGCAGTGGAGATGAAGCACAGAATGAGAATGAATGCAGTGCTCTGACCTTGTTGATCAGGTGAGAACGGATGAATGCATTTGTGATGGAGGTGAAGGGGATTGGCAATGGAGAGAGAGAGACAAGAGGAGTGGAAGAGCAACTGGCCAGACACAGCACACATACTCATGCATTAGTGTAGTAATCAGTCCCCAGCAGGGTGCATGGAGAGAATTTAATTAATTCCACATGCAGACTGTACTCTACAGATGCACACACACAATCGTAGTAGACACTACACGTGACAGATTACACTGAACGCATATTCTCACCTGCTTTGTCCATGTAGAATAATTACAGTTGTTGCGTCATTTTGCAATTTACACTGCTAATGGAAGCTGATAAATGCAAATTGATTTTACATGCCTCAGGAATGCATGAACGATCCATTCAAATAATGGAAATATCTTACTCATTGGCTGACATTAAAATAACACTTACTGTAGACCCGAAACATACTCCACATGTGTTATTTTTGTGTATTTTTCGGATCCGCCCACCGTTATGTTAAATTAACATACATTACATTTTTATGCAAATCTTTTTTGTAACAGTATAAAACAATGTAAAAGTACTGCCACTTTTGATAAATTTAATGTGTCCTTGTTGAATAAAAGTAGCTTGCTAACTATATTAAGCATAATGCTAATTAAACATAAATATATATGCCATTCAAAAGTGTGGTATCGATACGATTTTTTTAAAAAGCAGTCTCTTTGTATTTATTTGATCATAATACAGTAAAACTACATTAATATTCTGAAACATTTCTGTATTTCAGAATTATATAAAATAACTGTTTTCTATTTTAATATATCATGTAATTTATACATGTGATGACAAAGCTGAATTTTCAGCAGCCATATATATTATATTTATTATATATTTTTATAACTTTGTGTATACTGCTGCAGATTGCATTTCTCATCGAGACATGAATATATATATATGTATATATATATATATATATATATATATATATATATAAAATACAAATAAGTATTTACCCTTTTATGACCCTTTTAATCCAAAGTTATTGCAGTCACAAGCCTACAGCAAAATCAGCACCATCATTTACATTTTAATTAAGCTCAAATCAAACCTAATCAATCTCTCAATAAAGCAAGCGAATAAACATGCCACTTCAATCTTATTGGTGGAAGGGAACACGATGATGTCTGTATTTTTCTGTTCTCATGTTGCTGTAGCTCTCTTTATAATTACCTTCTCATGCTGATCACAGATTTTACACGGCTTCTGAATGATATAAAGCCAGTCAGAAGATGAAGATTTTGAAGGACGTGATAGCCCTGAAGTTTAAAACATCAGAGAGCGAAGGGGTGATTCTGCACGGAGAGGGGCAACAGGGTGACTACATTACCTTGGAGTTGAGGAGAGGCCGGCTACTGCTGCAGATAAACCTCGGTAAATCTGATATAGAGGCCTATAATAGATATCTGTTGTGTGTGTACCTTGGGGTGAATTTTGTCATTAATGTGCTGCTGTAAGTATTTCTTCATGTTATTTATTGACTTTATACCTGCTGTCTTCTGATATTTAATTGATTGTTTAATGCTCATTGACTCTTTGAACTATCCTTTTAAATGTAACTAATTTTTACCACTCAAAAAAAAGAAAGAAAGAACAAAAATAAAATTCTGTCAGTTTTTACTCACCTTCATGTAATTAAAAAAATTGGAATTAGTAAGACTTTTTATTTTTATTTATTTAGTATTTATTTATTTATAAATTATGTATTTAAATGATAAATTAATATGTTTATTCAGCAAGGATACATTTATTTGTTCAAAAATCAAAAAGTGAAGACATTTTATGTTTCTCGTTTGTTACAAATGAGTTTTATTTCAACTAAAAGGTGTTGTTTTAAACTTTCTATTCATCGGAGAATCCTGAAAAAAATATGTATCACAGTTTCCACAAAAAAATATTAAGCAGCATAATGGTTTTCAACATTGATAATATTAAGTTTCTTGAGCAGCAAATAAGCATATTAGAATGATTTCTGAATGATCATGTGACACTGAAGACTGAAATAATGACTGCTGAAAATTAAACTTTGCCATCACAGGAATAAATGACATTTATAATATATTAAAATATATTTTTAAATTTTAAGAATATTTCATAATATAACTGTTTTACTTTATATTTAATCTCATAGATACAGGCTTGGTGAGCATAGAAGAATGTAAACACTCATATGGCAACTAGCACCAACATACCCTATATGACAGCAAATAATGTACGAGAAACTGAGAAAGTGAATGATTTATTGCTCTGAACTTCATTTAACAAGCCGGTGCATTATGGGAATGCTGAAGCTCAAAATGTTACTCCCCATAACAGGTCTTTTTAAAAAAGTATTTAAAGGGGTCATATGATGCTGCTAAAAAGAACATTATTTTGTGTATTTGGTGTAATGAAATGTGTTTATGCGGTTTAAAGTTAAAAAAACACATTATTTTCCACATACTGTACATTATTGTTTCTCCTCTATGCCCCGCCTTTTTGAAACGCGTCGATTTTTACAAAGCTCATCGGTCTGAAAAAGCGAGGTGTGCTGTGATTGGCCAGCTATCCAGTGCGTTGTGATTGGCCGAATACCTCAAGCGTGTGACGGAAACATTACGCCCCTCACCATACTGTTGTATTCCCTCAGCGACCAGCACGGATCAGCTCTAGGCATGACGAAGCGGATATCGTCCTCTTTTGGAAGACCAAACAAAGTAGTTTCGCTTTCACGACGAAGCACACAGCGTCTTCAGGATATGGCAACAATACTAAAGTGAGAATAAAAGTTACGCCTTCTTTCTTTGCGTTAACATTTGGGCGGCGTTATGCAAATCTTCCCACAGAGCGACGTAGGTATGTTGGGGCGTGTTAGAACGAGCCGTTTTAGGTAGGTGTGGCTGACTTTTAACTTTTATAAAGAATATCTCTTTGGATTTGAGACTTTAGTCTTTGCAACTTTACAGATCTTCTTTATGCACCAAGAGCTTGTAACACTCCAAAGAGAAAGGAAAAATTGAAATCGCATCATATGACCCCTTTAAGGTAACACTTTTGTATAGAGACCAATTCTCACTATTAATTACTGTAGTTTCTTATTAGCATGTCTATTATTAACATTTTGGCTGTTTATTAGTGCTTATAAAGCACATATTCTGCATGACCATATTCTACATCCCTAATCCTACCCAATGCCTAAACTTAATAACTAACTTACTATTAATAAGCAGCAAATTAGGAGTTTATTGAGGCAAATGTCATAGTTACTGGTTTGTTAATGGAAACAATTGGACCTTAAAATAAAGTGTGACTGTAACAACGTTCGTAGGTTGGGAAGAAGGAGGAGGGAACCGGCGAACACTTAAACAAAACTTTAATAAAATAAACAAACACAAAATGAAAGTAAAGCGGCAGCCCCTCGCGGATGACTGCCGCACACAAAATACAAAATAAAGTCCAGGCCTGGTCCTCTCTCGTCTTTCACTGTCGTAACTCCTCCTTTTATCCTTCCGGAGCTCTTCCGTGGGACTCGAGACCGGTGAGTGGTGCAGGTGTCGCTCATTATCAATTACTCCACCAGCCTCGCTCCATTCCCACGGCTCTCGGCCCCGCCCCCACTCGTCACAGTGACCATATTTAATTGTCCTTAAGAAAGATTGATCTCACAAAGATGAAAATGAACAGGAAATACTGTGAGAATTCTCACTTTAAATAAGCATGAATTTCATTCTCATCCAAGCTGATTTATGCTATTAATGATGGCTTGGTGCTATTCTGTTATTTAAACCAACATAACAAATTTAGTGATGCTTGTTGAATAAGCATTGCTGATAAAAGTATAGTGAACCTGACTTGAACAAGCTTTTCCAAAACCTGACTTTTTTCTTTCAGTGAACACAAAAAAAAAAATAAATGTTGAGGATTATCCTCTAAGGCAGTGGTTCCCAAACTTTTTGCAGCGTGCACCCCTTTCTAGTGTTTGACACATGTCAAGCACCCCCACCACCGTACTCCGGTTAAACACCACATTTTTTACTGCAATACAAGTATAAATACAAGTATTCACTGTATACAGGGCTTGACATTAACTCTTTTGCTCACCAGCCACTGTGGCTAGTGGTTTTCCAAAATTACTAGCCACTCAGCATTTTCACTGGCCACAATTTTGTTGCTGGAAAATTACTTTTTATATGACTAAAGTTACTGCATAATAAAATGTATTTGAATTGATTTCCAGGTCTTTTTTTTTTTTTTGCCTATAAAAAGGGTATTTCCCCTAACCTTATTAAATGCATGTGTCATCTTCCATATCAAATTCTTACATTTTATTAATAATTTACACATTTACACAGACAATTTACTTGTATTTATACAAGTATAAATACAAGTATTCACTGTATACAGGGCTTGACATTAACTCTTTTGCTCACCAGTTCTTTTGCTCATTACATTTTATTAATAATTTACACATTTACACAGACAATTTAATGAAGCTGAAATGTAGCATGTGAATGCATTAACACTGCAAAATTACAACAGCATAAATAATGCTGTGAGCTTGGTGTTTTACATCAGGTTTTTTTATTTACAAATATGAAAAGTTGTAAAAAAAAAGTCTTAATGAGTAAGTCATTGAGGCATTCAAACTATTCGTTCAAATAGCTGATTCATTCAAGAATGAAGCAAGCGCCTGTCTTTATGAATGGACCACTGAATAATTGACTCAAATTATTAATTAAAAAATGCGAATCATTCAGTAGCCTAACGAAACACCGCTGACGCGGTGTGTTGCTCAGAGATGCGCGACAGTTCTGCTGCTAAGTTTGTTTGGAACTATTTTCGTTAAACAAATCGAGCAAAAACAGTCACATTGACATTATTGTACTAAAATGTATGCCCTAAGTCACTTAATATTAACTACTCGTTTGAAGTCTTGTTTAAAATCAATGTCGAATTTATAATCGTACTGATTTTCGGGGAAAACTGCACTCTCTTAGTCGTGTCATGTTAATCAATTAGGCTACATTTTTACAAACTACATTTTTTACCGCAGTATGTTTCTTCTGTGTGCAGTTGTGTTCATTTGTTTCGATTTCTCCATGAGATTGTCTCACGTGAGTCTCAACTGCCGCGACCTTGTTACTATTGATTATCCATTATGAATTGCCGTTTACACCAAGTGTAATAAAATCAGAATCATTCTCGCTGAAATTTTGGTGCTTCCCTAATTCGATGATTTAATTTGATTAGATTAGTTGTCCGGTCAGGCAAGTAAAATTCTCTTTCACTTGCCCTTCAAAAAATGCACACAGATCATCAAAAGCATTCTCTCGCACACCCCTGCTGGTCGGTCTATGCACCCTTAGGGGTGCGCGCACCCCAGTTTGGGAACCGCTGCTCTAAGGTATTTCACGTATAATTAAAATGAATGGGGACTGAGACTGTCAGGCTCTAAAATGACAAAAAAGCATCCTAAAAGTATCATAAAAGCAGTCTATATGACTTCTCTCTATACGTCGTCTGGCATCAATATGATGCAGTAGCTTTGAGAGGGACCAGGCCAATATTGAAGTCATTATTCAGTGAAAATCTTGCATGATGTAATTTTTCTGACATCATATTTGATTTGATTTGGCAGTGGGAAAGTAATTTTGGTCTTTTCTTCAAACAAAGTGCCAGTTGGTTACTATTGTGTGGCTTCAGAAGACTTGGAATATAAAGCATGGACTTCTTAAAGGTGTGTGTTTTTGGTAATTTTAGAACTTGGCATCTCCAGTCCCCATTTGCTTCCATTTTATGGAAAAGAAAGTAAGTTATACGTTTGGGATGACAGAGGGAGTAAATGATGACAGAATTTTCATTTATGAATATCTCTCTAAGCTTGTTAAAAAGCCTGGTTTTGGACACCAGCTCCCTAAATACAACATATGTTGTGTAGGTCAAGTTTGACATCAGTTGGATTTTATCTCATTTCCACACAGGCTGTTAAGACACTCAAAAATAGAAGTTCTGTAATTATCTCCGAAATCTCAAGGATTTCTGTAGGATTATGGTCACACTGCAGTCGTCACCCAATCCAAAGATCTCAAGCTCAGGCTTGATAAAAAGCTGTGAAGTCACACCAAGACATTTTGTCTCAAGAAGGTTCGCATTGTGATAAACTTTGTTTGCAGTGGGATTTTTATCCCTTGTCATTCTTTTCAGCATGGAACGTTTTAAATCCGCTTCTCTGCACAGGATTAATCCTCACTAATAACGTTTACCAGGATTACATAACATTAATGTTATCAAACAGAAATTACGCGTATTAACACGTGCTGTAGAGGAATGTATAGGAAATTGATTTTCAGCGATGTAAAGAATATGGTCTGAGAGCAAATGCTTATCTATTCAATTGAACAAAGACACTCCTGGAACTGTTGGATGCTACAGAGCTGGTTACAGCTCAGTTGGTCTAAGACAAATTGACCCCAATTAAAGTGAAAGTGTCTGATTAATTGAGCCGAGAACGGATCCAAACTGGTGAGTGGTTGCATTTATCGACTATTTTGTTGAAGCACTAGTGCTTCTTTCTGGGCTCTGTTTGAAATTGTTTAAATAATAGTACTTTCTAAGCATCTTTCAATAGCTAGATATTATCTGATTTTAGAAAAATATGTATAATTTTACTCCATTGTCGCAAGCTGAAATTGTTTGCTTGTGGCTGAGAAGTAATAATAATATTGTTAATTATATTTCATAGTTTCAATTTCAATTAAATGTACAAGTGTACTATCAGTTGAATTTGAAAACAGGACAATAGAATAGAAAAAAGAAAAAGATACAGAAAAAAAGTGGTTATTAAGTTGGTGAATATGGGAACCATTTACATTTAAAAATAAAATATGAACATGAATGAGAATGAGAAAAAAAATATGAATGCAGAAATTAAATCTTATTTTGCTGCACATTATTTGCACATTATTTGCACATTATTTGCATTTTCATATACTAGCAAGCAAAATATGTATTGAAAACTTTTTAATTTAAAATTAAGCATACATATTTTATGTATTTAT